CATACCCTGCTTCCATGCAATCTTTCTGAAAGTTTCAAGGTTCTGAATCAATAAGAAGCAATAGCTACTGTTTTTAATTTGCTACTTGGCAAGCGCCAAAAACAGATGCAATTCTTACAGATGAGTTTGTGTAGCATGAAAACAAGCAAGTTCTGATGACAGTTATGAATGGGGCTGGTTTTTCAGATGGTCCTCTTGCAAATGTATGCAGGCACTAGCCATAATGCTGTAACCACTGTATCTAATACATGAATCAGCCACATTTTGGATGCTAATTGTGCTTCCTGAGCTATATTGGCTGCTGCTGTAAAAGCCACATGCTGAGCAGCAGATGAAAGCTATTGAGCTGTACTGGTTCAGAGTGATAGATGGACCCTTCAGGTCCATAAAGACCCTGTTTGGTCAAACAGCCCTCTGACTGGCTTAAAGCATGTTTGTATGGTCTGAAAGGCTCCTGGCATTAGCTGGCCATCACTCAGTGGTTAAGAGCTGTCTTGGTGGTCCTCTTGGCTGCAACTAAGCTGATAAAAACCAACCAGATGTCCTATTAACGCTGATCTTACTCTTGCTTTTAGAAGATAATCCAATAAACAAGGTTACGTAACCAAGTTTTAACATAAGAGCTTTAATAAAATATACTGTTAGAAATATATAAATATATATAAAAATATATTCCAGGCAACGGTAAGCCCTAGTTAGTTCCCCTGTGGCAAGAAGACTGGAGTTGACCAGCCTGCTTTTTCATTTTGAGATACCGAGAGCTGACAGGTGCAGAGGCTGGGAAAGTGGTATCAGCTGAGTTACAGCTCAGGGAAGATCCCAAACCTTGGTGCCTGTGTTGCTGTGGCTTGGCTTGGTGGGAGGAATGGATTTGAAGACCCTCCCAGGGGTTGAGCAAGCTTGTGGCTCCTACTAGCCTGCAGGGAAGAGTGTAATTCAGGGTGACAAGCTGCTGTTCTTTCTTCTACCCTCACTGGTTTCTCATTTTTTTGACTGGAAATGTCAGTAAAGGCAACAAAACTACAGTCTTTTTTAGTCCTTAGTGTGCTGGATTTTCATGCTGTTTTTTAGCAGGAGAAAGGAAGAAAAAATAAAGAATTTTGCATTTACTTGCTGTGTGTGGATTCCACATACCCTCCACTATGAGCCTGGTGATTTACCTGGCCTTTCCCATTTAATGGAGGAGCTTGGAGGGAAATGAGGGAATCATTCTTAATAGCCCTGTGCCAAAGAGCTGTAAATGGTTTCTCTCCACCATCCTGTGAATTTAGACAGCATTTAATAGATTCAGTTCTCCTCCTTAGCTGAAGGAAGCATTCCTTTACCTTGTTTCAGTTTAGTAATGAATCACCCCCCTATGCCTGCTTGTTTCTAATAAACCATTTCACTAGCAGAAAAATCTTAATCAAAGTAGACTATGCCTATTCTGCCTTGGATGGGTTTATTTGCTGAATCTTAGGAAGAGGATGATAAACTCCTAGAAAATAGCTCAGCTGACTCAAGAGGTGAACTGGAAAATTTGGGAGGGTTTTTTCATGTGCCAGGGCTCTGTATATTTGACTTCTGACAGGGCTGACTGGTTCAGTTTTCTATGCAGGTTTTAGGTTGTTTGAATTACATGTGTAATGAAGTACTTTGTGAATTATTTCCCTCTGGGAGAGACTGGAGCTTGGAAAACATCAGATAGAAAGTTTGGGTATATGTCTGAGGTGCTTATTTGGGCTTACTTTTTCCTTAGGGAGAAGTTATGAAACTAATTAACTTAATGGGTTGGGAGAGGATTGAGGTGTCTGGCACAGCGAGGTAGAGGAAGTAGACACTCTCCTGCTAAGCACTGTGGTCTCTTCTCATCCTTTTGGGGATGTGTTTTTAAATAGAGTTCCTGGCCTTGGGATTCCTGATGGTTGATGGTGAGATTAGCTCCAATCCAGGGACTGGGTCCTTGTCCTCATGTCCTGGCTGTTGGTGACAAACTGGCCCCTTTTTCCTGCCCTGTGCTCAATCCTGTTGAGCTGCACATAGTTTCACTTCAAAATGATGTTGATCTGGATGTTTAATGTTCAGTTCTGCTCAGGCTTTCTTCTTCCAAGCAGTCCAGTGTGTTTTGTATCTTCCCTTCCTTAAGAGTGGTTTGCACAAATTCCTGCAAAGCAAGGCAAACTCATCTCATTGCAGGTCTTAGCATTGTTTGTATTGATCCATGGATATTCATCTTTGACCACTAATGGGTGTCAAATGGAGAAGGGAATAAATTTCTGTTGCATTAGAATTAATCTCTGGCTTGGCTCTTTTGGACCAGGATCTGGTTGAGAACAGAAGACACTGATCATCCTAAAGGATGGGGGGGACATTCAACCATTCAAGCACAACTTGTATCTCTTCCCCATGAGTTAAGCAGTAATGACCAGAGAGGAGGAGAGTTTAAAACCTTGCTGAACGGATTTGATTGTTTAAGGTGCTCTGCAAAAAGTGAAGAATACTCAAGTTCTTCCAGTACCTCAGGATGCTTTTCAGCAGCTGAGCCCCAAATCCACCTTGACATGTTTCCTTTCCTTGGTGGGTGAGACAAATCTGGGTTTCAGACCCAGCTGCTTTGCTGCTTGGTGATTTTGTGTCAATGCTTGCTGTGGTTGGAGGGGTTGTTTTGCCGATTGGTTCTGGAGCATTCTCATTTGCAGCAGACACCTGTTCCTTAATTATCACATCCTCAGCCCATCTCTCTGTGTTCAGAGCTTTCTGATGCAGGAGCTATGAACTGATTTGAGGGGAGGCTGTGTTGGGCAGTGTTGGGAGAGAAAGTTGAAAGAAATTAGTCACAAACTCAAGAATACTTGTCAATAAGACAGTTGGTGTCAACTTTTGTTTGCTTTGGGCCCTTGCCCTTACATTACTTTTTAGTCAAAGGTTTCTTTAGTCTGTTGGGGTTTGTGCATTGCTCTAGGATAGAGTGGCAGTCCATAGTGGGCAGGTGTCGTGGTTTAACATAACTTGGTTTTTTATTTAAAGAGAAAAGAGTGGAGTTAAGGTCCCAGTTAGAATAAAGGAACAAGAGGGAGAAGAGTAAAAAAAGGTTTGTAACTGACTGGTTTGCTTCTGTGTTAGAACCTCAAGTCCCATAACTGTTAAACCTGATTTGGCTCTTAGTCTTGCCAGTTATGCCTGTGGCATTGTATTCTGTGTGATTTCAGCGTTTCATCCAACAGCTATCAATTGCTTCACAAATCTGAATTCTGTGCATGCTTCCTGTCCTTTTTTTTTTAATCTGAGCAGTAAAAGCAAGACTTGGTGTAGGCAATGGTCTCGGATCAGAATATATCCCCACCAAGCAACATGTCAAACCAAGAGTTCTCTCCCCTGCTCCCCTTCTGGGTTTACTTTCATCACCTGAGAATACTTCTGATGCGAGGCATTTCCAATTTGCCTTGCAGATATTCTGAAACTGTCTCAAAAAAGGTTTCTTGGGGTTGTGCTAATCTTAAAATAGCTTGGATTCTGTTCTGTCCTGACTCTGTTGGGGTCGACAGAGACCTTGAGGCTTGGCAGACCTGCCCCTCTGAGTCCCAGTTCTTCGCTTCTGGTGACACCTTTTCTTGAACTGCTTTAAGAAGTCATGGAAAAGAGCAATGTGTAAATATTAATGTTGAATATTTGTCTTTAAAGATCTCTTTGGGATGCTCTACAAACCTACGCTGTGTGTGCTGTGGCTTTCTAAGCACTGCCTGCTTACAGCATTTGGACCTGTTAGTGTATTGCTAGCTGGTGCCATCCCACAGAGGACAGGCAGGGCTCTCTTCTCTTAACACCCATTTTGTCTCCCTCTTACAAGTGGCTTCTCTCAATCTCAATGTTCAGATTGCAGCCAGGGTCTGTTTCTTCTTGCAGTGAAGCCTTTTCTCTTCTCTCTGGGGTAAGTAAGGCTTGAGTGCTGCTTTGAGCAGAGGTGACAGTGCTGCACAGGACATGTCACCTCAGGACATGGGCTGATAGCATGGTTGCCTTGTGTGCTCTAGGAGGTGCTAGAAGAAGCTCTCATGGGAAGCTGTATAGTCCAGATTCCTAGGAGGGATCTTTGCTGGATGTATTTTGCAGCCCAGCTGGAAGAGATGAAACAGACTGGTGCTGCAGTGTACCCCAATTTAATTTTCCCCACCCCTGGAAGTCTTCAAGGCCAGGTTGGACTGGGCTTTGAGCAACGTGGTCTAGAGGAAGGTCTCTCCCCATGGCAGGAAGATGGAACAAGATCATCTTCAAGGTCCCTTCCACACAAACCATTCTGTGATTCTATGAAACACTGGTTTCTTAATAGACGTCCAAGAGGGGAGCGAGGAAGTTCTTCATTGAAGAACCTTTACGTTCCACACTGAATTAAATTCTCTGAGTATCTCACTGATTACTTTTTCCCTCATTTTGCATAGGGTTTTATCTTCCAAGAACTGAACTGTTACACTGTAGTTCCCACTATCTGTTTTTACTATTATAGAAACCCTGTATGTTTTACACAGGTGACTTAAAGCAGGGGTGGAAAAACTCCCAGGCAGACTTGGCTCCATTGTTGTTGAGCCTGGGATACCCCGAAGCCACCCCATCAATGCTAATAGAAGTAGACTGGTGAGGGCTATTGCTATTCATACCTAAACTGAGCATGTACTTGGGCAAAGAGGCCAGAGTTTAATATTTAATGTTCTGTAAGGCTGTACTGAGTGCTTTTACTGAAATGTGTCAGTAAAGGAGGGCTGTAGCAGTGATAGCAAACGGCTGAGAGCCAAGAGGATCCTGAGCTCTACTTCTGCCCAAGGCATGTTCTCTGATACCCAGCAGCTCACTTGACCCCCTGTGCCTCAGCCAATTTAGCTGTAAAATTAAGCAACAAAGAAAGCTTCATGACAAACGGACATGGCTGGAGGTGAACTTTCAATGCAAGCTTTGCTCTTCTGATAAATTCATCTTGCTGGCAGAATTTCTGGTTTTTAATCTGATGTGTGATTTTGTTGTCCTTCCAGGCGGCCTTCACGCTCCTCCTGGGTCCTTTCACCTTCTTCAATGTGCAGAAGACCAAGTACCTTCAAATCATGACGTCCCTCATGAGATGGATAGGTGAGTCTTGGCAGAGGCTCGGCCACCTCTTTACCATTGATGGAACCAAGTCATGCCACTGATGCTTCTCTTTGGCAGGATCTTCTTGTTTGGAAGCAAGTGCTTGTCAAAACAACCTCTTTGAGGACAGTTGTGCAGGCCTAATAAATCTTTGAGGGGAAAGGTTTTAGTCTAGGATGAAATTTCTGATTAAAACAAAACAAATTGTTCTCCATCAGACATGGCTGGTGAATGAGGTTTTAGTCTGGTTTGTGTGAGGGGCAGAAGATGTTTGGCAGTCTCCTGCCTAGGTGCTGGCTGTGATACCCACCAGTTGGAAGTTTCTTATTCTCACACATATGCACAACAGACTTTGGACAACTTTGCTTTGATCCGAGAAAAAAAGGCATTTCTTTCAGACTTTCCACCCTTAGTTTTATCATCTGCTTGCATTTATTTTCCTCAGTCTTCCTTTATGGTAAGATGTGCTGTATTGGAAACCCCCAAACCGATGTGTGCTGTCCTTGGGAAGTCCTGCTCCCATAAGTTCTTTCCAAAATCTTGCCAAGAGCTTCTGGGAAGACAGATCATTCCCTTAAGGGAAGTAAGACATCACTCTTGTTTTGTTTTTTTTTCTCCAATGCCATTGTTATTCGAAGATGCAGCTGCCTCATGTCTGGCTTGTGTGTGTACATGCTGTTAAAGGCTGAGAGGTGTGTGTGGGTTGTGGAAGTTTATGTTCAGGTTTGTCTATTTTTGTGTCACCTAGACAGAGTGACTGATACTCAGGGCTAATAAAGAGCATTTCTGCAGGTTAATGATCAGCATTTCTGCAGGTTAACAGTCTCCTGGTGTGTAAATCCAGACCATTCAGACACAGAATTAGCTCTGTTTATACCTATCACTGGAATAAGATGAAAAGCTGCATCTCTAACTATTTCCCATTACACACATACTCTTGGCCAGACTGCAGCTGGGTATTGTCCCTTCTCTGTGAGTTCATCCTATTTGGAGGTTGCTGCAGAGGAATGGAGATCCTCTGTTCTAGAGAAATCCTGAGATGGGGTTAAGCAGTTGACACCCAGGAAAATTAAGTTGGATTTTAAGCTCTCAAGTCTAAGATGTTGAACAGTTTGAGTTAATGAATCCTGACTTTGGATGGTGTGAAAATCCTGAATGCCTGTTTTTTCTCCTTTGTTGTCTGAGCACATGAAAGGTTTGAAGGCCCCCCCCATTCTTCAGAGAAAGAAGTTATCTCATTAAGGGGTACTAAAGGAAATGAGGAAGTTTTGCATGGGGATTTTTTTGTTGTTTTTTTTTTCTTTATAAGAGTGATCTCTGCTCAGCTGACTGGCCTGATTCCAATCACCCTGCCTCCTCTTTTCTGGTAAAGACATCAGTCAGACCTCATCCTGTCTCTGTGACAGGCTGATGCCTGCCTCATCTGCCGTTGGTTTCCCTTTAGCCAGCTCCTTCCAGGACGAGGATTGCTAAACCTTGGTGTGATGGCAGAGCTGTTCCTCTCTTTCATGGCTTGATGGAGAGGGATAAAGGCAGTGTTTGGAGAAGTGTAGGGGAAATTCATGTTTTAGCCTGATTGATTCCTGCGTCAGCACGCTGGGGAACAGCTGCCCCAGATAATGATAGTTAATGACCCTGACAGCACCTCAGTGGCTACTTAGAAGAACAGATTCCATATGTGTACAGTGAGGGATAGATTTATTGGGAAAGACAATTTGTCAAAAAGCCATGTGATGCAGGGAGCAGAGGAAAAGCTCTTGCTGCAAATCCCGGGGTAAGGATCAGTCCCACACTGCTGAGATTTGTCAAACTGGCTTCTCCCATGTCCTCACATCACTGCTGCCCCCTCCTCCAAAAGCAGGGCTGTGAGTTAAACACAGCTCGGTGTTTAGAGAGCTTAGATCCTAAAGAATGGGTTTGGGTAGTGTTTTGTGGTCTCCTGGACTTTTCCTGCCTGCATGCCAATGGCCAGATGTGAACTCTTTGTCCTGGTGTAAACTGTGCCTTTCCTTCGCCTTCCTTGGGTTGGTTTTGGCCATGTGGTGCTGAGGGTGGTTCTGCAAAGCACTCTGAGCAGCAGAGCAACACTGCAGCTTCCCACATACCTGTTTATTGTGTGGGGGAAAGAAAACCTTCCCATGTGGACCGTGGCTTATTCAGCTTACCTGTGCTCATTGGCTTGCTGTGGATGGGAACCTGACCCATGCTTTGCATCATGACTTGAAAAAAAAATCGAGCCTGCCTAAGCTGGGAGGTCAGTACAGACTTTGCAATGTGCCTCTCGCAGGACCCACTACATACCCTTCTCCCCAGCCTGGTGGAAAGTCCCTGGATTTCTGAGCAGAAGAGGCTGATGTAAAGCAGCACTGCCCCAGGTGTACTGGTGATTCAGATGATAGCAGCTGAGAGGATGGTTCTTGGCAGCAGAGAGAGCTAGCTGTGTGTGAAGGTCATTTCTGCTGGTGTTTGTAACAGTGTCAGCCTTGCCTTTGAAAGTTGCTTCCCCTCTTCCTCCTGATCTAAGTGATAATCAAATGTCACCAGCCTCTTCCAGAGCCTTATGCTCATCACAAGCAGCACATCAGCTATCAAAGCCTACAGCAGTCTTATTCCACACCTCACAGATAAAAAAAAATCATTCTCTTTCTGAAAAATAGGCTTAAACACTGGGATCTGAGCTGGAAATTAAAAATGGACCAGTTCAAAGAATGTGGAGATGTTCCAGGGATCAGCCCTTTATCTGGCATCCTCCCAGGATAAGGGACTAAGCCAGGACAGGCACCTCTGAAGCCTCTGTAAGGAGAAAGCTGAAGGAGGAGCTTGCAGGGCCGAGTGTTGTGCTGCTGGAGAGCCCAGACAGATGGGCTCTCCCTGTCTGGGCCTGTTGATCAGGGACAGCTCATCTGGAAGGAAGGCTGGCATGGCAAGGCACTTCCCTGCCAGCAGTGACAGGAGCACAGAGGGTAGGTCTGTGTCTCCAGGTGCAGTGGGGCTGGTGGCAGAGAGGGCTTCCAGAGGAATCAGCCTCTGTTGCCAGTCTTGTGAAGAGTAGCAGTTACACACTTGGCTGCAGAACTGATTGTCACTTGGCATTGCTGAGTGCCAGTGGTTAAATTCAGTGCAGCAGTTGGTGCTTGAACTGCTGGCCTTACCCTGGCTTAGAGATCTCTGTTCTCCAGGAGCTGGCAGATGAGAAAGGCTTTGTCTACCCAACTTCTCATCCCTTTCCCAGTGCAGAAGCTCCTCAGAATGCTTTGTCAGCCTTTTGCAGGTACCTGAGCTGCCTTGGGAGATGGAGCAGAGGCACCCTGAGGGGTGCAACAGGGAGCCTATCTGCTGTGCTTCCCTGGAGAGAGGGCCAGTCATGAAATATCATTTGGTTTAAATCCTGACTATGGTTCCTACAGTGAAGCTTTGTTTTGATTTGTGGTTAGAACCTTGTTGGCTCACCCAGCTGTGAGGCCATGTGAGTACAAATTGTTCCTGTTGTTCCTGTGGGGTGAGGAAGGTCCTTGCCCAAAGTGTAATTCCTGCCTTTCTTTCATCTGTCTTCCACCTCAGCCTCAGAAAAGTGTAGAGCTGTTATTAGGTCAATTCCTTTACCAGTTTTGGAGCCTGTTTCCAGGTCTCTTACAAAGTTATTGGAGCAGAGCTTCCTGCAGAAGGCTAAACCAACTGAGCCATCAATAAATTTAGAGCTGTTGGTATTTCCAATTCTGCTGTTTGGATTTCAGACACTTTATTTTTTTTCCTGGAGGGTTTAAATCTATGGTGGCAATGGATTGCTCTCTAAAGAGACTTGCTTATCTAGCTGGTTTTTTTTTTTTCCTCTCATTTCTTCAATCCTGCTCAAGTGGGTGCTGTTAGGGGTGAGCTGCTGAAGGGCACTCTGTGCTGCCAACCAGAGAGACTGATCCAGGCAAGTCCCATACACCTCTCTCAGCAGAGGGGATGCAGCTCACTGGGGCACAGCCCTACCTCTTTATTATTGGATAATATTGGATAATAACTGTCTAGCAGCATCATGGGATAGGACATGGATTAGGAAAGATAACAAAAGGACAGAGCTTGGTGGAGCTGAGCAGCAAACACTGGGCTATTGTGTATTAAGCAGCTAACCCGATTAATTGCAGCCTGAGATGTCCAGCTCTATAGGTGAGGACTGCTGGCTCTAAAGACATTGCTAGTGTGATTATTGCTGCTGTTATTAAATTGTCTCTGCCAAATGTTCCCAGACAGCTCCCACGTGGGGCCTGTGCTCTGTGTGCTGCTCATGATGCTGGATTGTAGTTATTAGAAAGTATTGTATTTTAATGAAGAGATAGTTCATAGAGTAATAAACTTCTGGGTTTGGTTGAACAGGCTCAGTTCTCTCTCCCTATTGGATCACACCACATCTATTCAAGCCCTTGAGACAGAGCCTTCACAACTCTGCCCAAACAATGATCTCACAATTACATGCATAGGAGTAAAATCTCTACCCCAGCTCTTCCCCTGGCTGATAATCTAGGAAGTCTGTGTTAAAGCTCTCTTTTCTCCATCCCATCCTTTTCCAGGATACTTGGTAGAAGGCTTCTGGGGCAGAAACTAGAAAAGGGCTGTCCAGAGCGTGCTAGTGGGGCTGGCTTTCTGTATCTGGTGGTTTCCCTGGTAGTTCTGCTCTTTCCACCAGAGCTCTGCTGTTTACAGCACTGCTCTGCAGAGAAGTGGTCTCAGACCATCTCACCTTGTGAGCAGTCTCAGGTAACTGTCCCTGCCATCCTTAGCAGCAGAGCTGTCTGTGCTGGAGTTGACTCACTGCAGAAACCTGGAGTCACTGTGCTGCATCCCTTCAGGTACTGAGACTGAGAATTACAGGGGAGGCTGATTTAGGAGGGGGTGACAGTTATCTGAAGTCCTGCATTTCCAGTCTCCTGCTGAGAAATCAGCCTGCTAGTGCCCACAGTCCTCAAGGTGGGTGGCCTCTTTTCAGATCAGAAATTGAGCTTTCTGCAAATAGC